ACCAAGAGTACTCTGGGGACTCACAAGTGGAACAAGTGACAGCAATCCTCTGTAGTTTGTCCCTGGTGTTTGGTACTCAGAAGTACACTGCCCAACCAGTTCCACTCCCATTCTGCTCACCAATAGGGAGTAGAAAGCCAAACGGTGAGCTATTCAAATGTGCCTAAATTAATTTAGATGTATCCATTTGTACGATTATACTGTTTTCTTGCAGGATTAGACGGCGTTCTTCCTGCAGCAGCCCCATCAATTCTCATCTGCTGCCACCTCCAATTTGAAAAGGCACACAGTAAAATGACAAAAATTAAGTTTGAGATTTATTTTTTTTTAACGTTCAGACTGACTACTTAGGTGTCTCGGTGTGCTTTGAATAGTGGCCTCTGAATCCAGATAATCTTGTGGCAAGTTCTTACGATTTCTCACTGCGCAGGCTCAAAAAAGCAGGCAATGCAATCTGACTGATGTCATTCATCTAATAGAGAGAATGACAGCAGGCAATGCCATGCTTTAGGCTTACACAATAATGACCTGACCTTGACTCTGGGTTATACGTGCCTCTTTTCTGATAGCCAAGGTGACTTAGTGGGCAAGAGCAGCCTCAGGTTGCAATGACCTGGCCCTACAGCAGAAGTAACTACTGCACAGACACAAAGCTGTTTGACACGGAGCTATGCTTGAGGCAAACAAAAGTTCACTAAGAAACGGCTATTTTGGGGCAGGAACAGAGTTCCGGATGGCTCCCAAATTGGCCACACCCAGCAGGAACTCATTAGCATAATAGGCCACACCCAACAGCAGAGACTCATTAGGATTGGCTACATTAGGGGTGTGTGGCCTAACATGCAAAGGAGTTCCTGCTACAAAAAAAGCCCTGGGTTTTGACAACAAAGCAAACAGAATAAGAAGCAAAAGGTGGGTGTGGCTGGATAACCACACTTCTGGTAACATGGGGGTGCGTCCTAATGAGCTGTGCTGGCAGGGGTGTGGCCTAATATGCTAATGAGTTCCTGCTGTTGGGTGTGGCCTATTATGCTAATGAGTTCCTGCTGGGCTTTTTCTACAAAAAGAGCCCTGGCCCGTAACTGATGTTACCCAGCCTGCCTCAGCAGGGAGGGCGGGATATAAATCAAATAAATAAATAACAAACAAATAAATAAATGGCCAGTGGATGTCATATCCAATAAAGCTTTCAGAACTTAAGGTGTTTTAAAACCACCTTTGCCTTTTCTTGATCTAATATATGGGCAGGCAGAGCCTCTTTTAGCTCCTGGCGTAAAACCCAGCTGAGGCTCATGAATGCTTTAATTTACACTGGCTGGGAACGGGCCCTGGGGGGGAATCACTAACATAGCCAGAAAATCAATGGAGCACAAGGGCTTGTTGTCATCAGGGCTGGATGACCACACTTCTGGTAACATGGGGGTGCGGCCTAATGTGCTAATGAGATGTGCTGTCAGGGTGTGGCCTAATATGCTAATGAGTTTATGCTGTTGATCAGGAGCCCATCTCACTTGTAATCGAGGGACTGTGAACAAGGTATGTTCACCTGGGCAGCACATTCACCACAAAGTTCTCCACACAGTGATAGGGATGGCAGCCTCTAAACAGGACCTGGGAAACCCCAGCATTACAGCTCATCTATTCATTCCCCTGGAGAAAATGGATGCTTTGGAGTGTGGAGTCAGTGGCGTTGTGCCCCACTGAGGTCCCTGTCCTCTCCAGGCTCCATCCTCAAATCTCCAGGAGTTCCCCAACCTGCAGCTGGTGACTCCACCCCCCATCCCCAGCTGGTGGCCAGGGGGGACCTGGTAATCCTACAGCACACTTAATGCTACCACTAAAAATAGAAACTAATGGTTATCGATAAACTTAAACTCCACTAAAATGTGCAATCCTTCTTCAGCCTCACATGCTTGTACCAGGGCTCTTTTTGTAGAAAAAGCCCAGCAGGAACTCATTAGCATAATAGGCCACACCCAACAGCAGAAACACATTAGCATATTAGGCCACACCCCACTTGTTACCAGAAGTGTGGTCATCCAGCCACACCCACCTTTCCCTTCTTATTCTGTTTACTTTGTTGTCAAAACCCAGGGCCTTTTTTTGTAGCAGGAACTTCTTTGCATGTTAGGCCACACACCCCTAACGTAGCCAATCCTAATGAGTTTCTGCTGTTGGGTGTGGCCTATTATGCTAATGAGTTCCTGCTGGGCGTGGCCAACTCAGGAGCCAGCCGGAACTCCGTTCCTGTGCGTTCCTGCCCCAAAATAGCCCTGCTTGTAGCCATCACCAGATCATGTGGTAGTGAATTCTAGACGCTAATAAGCAATTGCTTTGGTCTTTCCTGAACTTTTTGGCATTCAGTTTCATGGGTGACCGTGGTCCTTTCCGCACTAGACCTTAAATCCTGGTTCAACCCTTTCCCTGAACTTACATTCTACACTACACGCGAGTTCACCCCTCTAATTATCTCAGGGTATTTTTTGTTTCCTCATTACATTGTGGTCACCCTGATTTCGCCCTACACTTGTCCTGGGATAAACGGATGCTGTTATAACCAGGGATAAACGCAAGGTATCTTGTGACCCAAGTTGAACTCTGATAAAACCAGGGATGAGATCCAAGTGTGGAAAGGACCTGTGTTTCTCTGTCTGTTTTCTCCACACCATAATTGCATAAAGCTCTATCATGCCACCTCGATTAGTTGTATCTTTTCAAAACAAACACCTCCCCAAAAACTAAACTAAAACTTTAGCCTTCCTGTTATTAGAAAGGTGCTCAAGAACAGCCTTGAGACCAAACTCTGTTTGAAAGAGAAATTAGCATATCTGTAGCAGAGGGAAATGGATACCAAGAGGGTATTCATAGGTTTCCACTGGTATTTACATCCCCCCCCCTTAGACAGCAGTGAAAGATAGTTTTGTAATAATTTTTGCCAGGGCTCTTTTTGTAGAAAAAGCCCAGCAGGAACTCATTAGCATAATAGGCCACACCCAACAGCAGGAACTCATTAGCATAATAGGCCACACCCCAACAGCACAGTTCATTAGCATATTAGGCCACACCCCCATGTCTTCCCTTGACTTGCCCAGTTGCCCCACAGCTGCGGGATGCCTGGCAAGCTGGCCCTTAAATGCCTCCCCGATCCTTCCAGGGGGGGGCCTGGCCTGCCTGCTTCAGAGTCGCTGGGGCGGGGGTCGCTCTCCAGGCCTTCCCTCTGTAGCCACGCGTGCACAGAGGTTTTGGCTGTAGTGGGCGTGGCCAACTCTGAAGCCAGCTGGAACTCCGTTCCTGTGCGTTCCTGCCCAAAAATAGCTCTGATTTTTGCTTCTTTGGAGGGATTCAGTTCTGAACATGATGAGGCCAGCATCTCCTGCTGCGTTTCTTGTTTCTTTGTTTGTTTTTTAATCACCTTCTCCAAATAAAATGATTAAGCAGTCAGTCAAATCACTTCATAATGGAGAGCAGATGAAATTTTAGTATACTTTATGGGTGTTTTTTTTTAAGGATAAATATTAAACCTTCTGAGAACTGCACTTGCCCTGTTAGGAAGGAGAGGCGAAATGTTGTATTTTATTTTCCAAAAGAGTCTCTGAAACATCAAGCTCTCTAGCTGCATTGACAGAGTAGGGAAGTGCAGTGTCACCTCATTAAACCCAGCAAAGCCAAGAAAGAAAAGAGGGCTACAAAGCACGGCCCGGAGTGAGGTCACGAGCTAATGTAGCTTCACAACAACAAAAGATCTTTGTCTGATGAAAAGGTGTCCTCTGATGGAGGTCGGCATTCGTTGGCCCAAATGAGTCTTTCGGGCTGAAGGAGGGGAAATTTGTTAGCTTGGCTTGCTGAAGCAGATGCCACAATAGCATGCGACTATCAGCCCTCCTGAGACCCTTTTGTACCTGATATAATGATTAACTGACCATTCAAAATCCTAGAAATGTCACATTAGCTGCAGTGGCCGACTCCTCAGAGGGCAGGCAGCCGTGTGTGAAGCCGCAAAAGTTTGGGTGCTAAAAGAATAATCAAAGTCAGAAATAATTTGCAGCTGCTAAAATTAAATTGGATGTATCAGTAACACCCCATGTATACGCACGCTCAGAGGTCATTTCGGGGGGGATCGCGGGGGAATGCAGTTCCCCCGGGTGAGGTGCAGGGGGCGGGGCACATGACGAAGCCCCGCCCCCTGCTTCCGGCCGCCCCGCTTCCAGTCCTCATTCAGCCAGGAGGAGGCAGGAGAAGAGGGAGGGTAAGTTGCTTCCTCCCCGCCTCTCCCCACCCCTGCCTGCCTGGGGCCAGAGAGGGCCTTGGCGGGGCTTCCTCGCACTCCCGCTGGCCTTGCAGGTCCACCGCCGGCCCCCTGATGTCAGGGGGTGTGGCATATGCTAATGAGTTATGCTAATGAGTTCCCCTAGCTCTTTTTCTACGAAATGACCCCTGCGCACGCTTCTGTGAGGTAAGAAGGGGATTTTTATTTTTGCAGAAGGAGGGGGGGAAAGGACAAGTTTTAGTTGTCTATTATAATTACCCTGAGGTGACTCCTTCTTCTAAATATTATCAAAGGCTTCTGGTCATAAATATTTCTAAAACAATGTTCTGTTAACGCAAGTCAATCAATAATACAGTAAAAACCGGCAGCCGTCTTAGCAAAGTAGTGTCATCTTCCATTATAGCTTCTCCGTCGTTACCTTTGTTTGGGAGTGCAGGATTTCAGGTTATAAGGAAAGATTTCCCCCCGCCCCCTTGCAACAGGCCTACCTTTTAATCACATTTTTATGAGGGAGATCAAATATTCTTGGACGCATCTGTCTCTCTTTTTTAACTATATTCAAAGTTCCATGTTAGAAATTTGGTAATAGATCTTCTTTAACTTTACAGGATCCCCTCGTCCTTAAAGTGGTCGGTCCAAACCGCTTGAAATCTGCTCTCGGACACTCCAAAGGCCTGTCCATTGGATTCTTTAAAGGACCCACACTGCATCTGGAAACACTCCTGGTATACCAATGTGGACTTTAAGCAGAATGGGCAGCGCAAAGAGACTTGGATTCAGTATATCTATATGTTTGTGCTCGATGATGAACTTCATTACAATTGTATTATCTGGGAGCACAAGACCACCCAGCAGCGGCCAAGGAGATAGCCTGTCAGACAACCTGCTTCTGCATCAGCGGATGAAGAGGAGCTGGGTGTGGAACCAATTCTTTGTTTTGGAAGAATACACTGGAACGGATCCTTTGTATGTGGGAAAGGTAAGAGCCAAACCATCCATAGGGCTTCCAGTGGTTGCCATACCAGAGAAAGTGTGTATCTGTACACAGAAGGTACATGGTGTATTGCACATTTTTTTTTGGTTATTTCCATTGCCCCATAGATAGATTTCCGACTTTATAGAGCAACAGAAGCATGTACCATTGTGGCTCAGTGGTAGAGCATCTGCTTTGCATGCAGAAGATCTTAGGTTCAATCCCCAGCATCTCCAATTAAAAGCATCTGGTAGTTTTTGGGCCCGGTCACACGGGCTGGATATCGTGGGGGGGAGGCGTGGCTGTTTGCCCCAGAGCAAACTACCACGCGGCAGCCAGATCAAACGTCCCGCCGACATCCCCCCGACATCCCATCGTTGGGGGGAGGTGCCGATCATACCTCACTCCTGTGGCGCGGCAAAGAAGCGCCGCCGCGGGGGTTGTGTTGTTGTGTTTTTAAACCAAGTGTTTGCATGCGCCGTTGGGTGCTTGTGCGCACCCGTGGAAACTTGACCAAAAAAAAGCTTTTCACGACGGGACATGGACGGGCGCCGGATGCCACGAGCGACCACTGGAAACGTGATCTGACGCCCGCCCTTGCCCCACGGTTTCCAGAAACTAGTACCTCGGAGGTACTGGTTTTTTACAGCACATCTTCAGAGTGAAGCCTCGGGTGAGCCACGGGAGCTCTACGCTTCCCAGATGTGGCGGTGAGATCGCGCCCGGAAAATCCGCCTATCTTCCGTCTCTCTAGCGTGCCTAATGCTCCGTGTGACCGGGGCCGGTGATGTGAAAGACCTCTACCTGAGACCCTGGAGAACTGCGGCCCGGCGGAGGATACAGTGCTGTTCTTGAAAGACCAGCCGTCTGATTCCCTGTAAGGGAGCTCCATAGGTCTTCATGTGTCATGTGTCTAAGACATGTCCTTGCCCTAAAGAGATGATATTGACCTTGATTCAAAGGTAGCCTTGTGAGAGCACAAGGCATTTCTGCTCACACAAGTGGGGTGTCCCTGGATGTCACCAATTTCACTTGCCACTGAAGCCACGGAACATACCGGGGGGGGGGGAGTGTTGTTTTATCTTGATTAGTCTTACTAAAAGATATGATGTGACTTGTCTTTTGCGGTCTTTGCTGTGGACCAATGCACCTAACCTTTGTTTCTTCTCTATTCAAAATAGTGAGCATCCAAGCCAGTATTAATTTCACTAATAAGGGGAAATAACAGAAAACGAGAATAGGGGAAAGGTAAGGGGAAAACGAGAGTAACAGAGAATGATACACGCTTAAGCTTAGTTTTGGTTACGGTAAAGACAAAGGAATTAAGCTTAAGGAATTGTTCACTTGAAGATGTAGTTTTTGAGGAGGCATTTGAAAGGTGGCACCACACAGGTTTCTTACTCTTTGCCAGCCTGTTCTTCCTCTGACTGTGGACCCCAAATACATCTCAGTTTCTGAGAGATTCCAACTAGTGTCACCTTGAACTGTGAATAATGTCTGTTTTGAGAGATGGCTGATGCTTCGCCTTCTTCCAAAAGATCAGCGCTATCAACTGTAATCAGATGTCACTTTCCAAACTCTCCAGCCGTCGTTGTAGGAACAGCTCATGGGTTTGCCTTTCATACAGAAAGGCAAAGAAGAATTAGGTGGGGATGAGAAGGGGGTGCGTGTGTGTGGCCAACATTACAGGGGGGGGAAATGAATTCAGATTTTTTAAAAGCAGGTTTCTTCAAGGGACCGTCTTCTTCCAGATGCATTGCTTCTGTTTTAGCAAAGAGTGATTGCTGCCAATTCACAATAAGAGAGCCTGATGCTGGAACTGTCATTACAAAGTGTGCCGCCAGTGCCAAAAATAGCAAGCATGTGTTTAGTTGGCCCCTCCCAATGTCTAAAATAACTTACTGGTGTTCTGGCACAGCTGGTGTATTGTCCGCCCAGCCCTCACCAACTGCAGACAATGATGTGCGTCAGGATTAGGAAAACATACAGTGTTGTGTGAAATGGTTTGTCCTCTCAAAAGATCCATTTCGCTCAGGTTTCAGGTGCAGTTTTAGCACTGAAACTTCCTTGGTCACCCTGGCTCATTAGCCTTCACCAGAAGAGAGACAGTATTCTTCTTGAAGGATAACTGTTATATACGAGACTCGAGGCAGCTGGTGAACAGTGATAACAGCTTTATTGGACGAAGTCCGAAGAACCGGAACGAGACAAAACAACAGAGCAACAGGCTCCTTCTTAAACAGTCTGGGCTTGGCAAGCCACGCCCACATGTCAGATAACAACCAATCATATTTAGTACATAAAGACCAATCAGTTTGCTTCCCTCCAGAACTTCCCTGGTTCTGATAGGTCGGTTTAGAATACCATGCATCAGACTCAAGCTCAATACATACATACATTCCATTCCATACATAACAATAACCGAGATAACTTTTGGGAGCAACACACTCCAGTGACTCCAGGTGTTGGTGTCAGGGAAGAGTTGCTTGATCCCATAGCATCTCAGATCTGAGGTTCTGTAGGTCTCCAATGCAGTTCAATATTTACATGAAACTGCTGGCAGAAGTCGTCTAGAATTTCTCCTTTGTAATTGAGTAAGGTGAGGTAGCAGATGTTGTGGACCACTGCCTGGAGGTGAACATGGACCTCAAAACCAATCCAAATTGTTGGTTGATAATAATGCCAGTCAAGGTTCCTGGAATCGTCTGGATCTCAGTGTCATTATACCCTGCTAAGGTCACCACAGCACCCGCCCAGAGCCTCTTTCTAGAGCTTGTTGTATTTATTTCCACAACGAACCTTTTTCCTGGGCCCTGGTCACACGGGGGGGGGGAGCACGGCCAAAGCGCGGCTTTTCTGAGCCGCAGCAAAATAGACGTGCGGCAGCGGGATCAGACAGATCCCCCGAGCCGCCGCGCAGTTGCTCCCCAGCACGATCAGATCCCGGGGGGGGAAGCCACGCGATGGAGAGCGAGGCAGCCGGCTGCGCATGTGCACGCATGCGCAGTTTGGCCGGGAGCCTCGCGTGCTGCGGGAGACGGGCACGCCGGCGATCCCACGGCCGCCCTTGCTGCAGAGCTTCAGTTAGGTAGTACTCTTTTCTTGGGGGTTTTTTTGATGCACGTTTTCCCCCAGAAAGGACAGATCGGGGACGGGTGCGCTCCGCTTCCCAGATGTTGCGGTGTGATCGCGCCCGTTTGATGTGCCCCCGATCCGTCCCTCTTGCGGGGCAAACCTTCCCGTGTGACCGGGGCCTTTGTTACCTATAAAACTCTACATGGTCTGGCATCAGGATAAATGAAGGGCTGCCTTCCTTCTCATGTATAAGATCTTCATTTCTAGTGTTTCTAGCTCTGAGTTGGAAAACACCTGCAGAGTTTGGGGGTGGAGCCTGGGTTAGGGTGGAGTTTGGGGAGGGAAGAGACCTCAGCACAGCATATTGCCATAGATTCCATCGTCCGAAGCAGCCATTTTCTCCAGGGAAACTGATCTTGGTCATTGGGAGATCAGTTCTGATAGTGGGAGATCTCCGCACACCACCTGGACTGAATACCACTTAAAACTGGAAACTTCCATTGCTACAGAAGCTCATCTGGCACCAAATTAAAATATTTTAGGCACCAGGCAAATATGGTTGTAATCTCCCATGAACTTTAGGAATTTTCCCTTCATTAATAAAATTGTACTTTTTTTTGTCCTGCTTTACATCATGAGAACTTCCTCTGCCCCAAAGAGTTTCATTCATTTTTTCTTATTGCCTTCTCAGCATTCTCTCTCTCTCTCTCTCTCTCTCTCTCTCTCTCTCTCTCTCTCTCTCTCTCTCTCTCTCAGCTTCCATTCTGTGTTTTTAGGATTCTTAAGATCTTTACCCGGTTGTTTTAAAATTCTGATAACAGTTTCTGTTGCTTTTTTACTTTTCAATGCTGTTTTTTTAGTTTAACGTGATACTGGTGTTTTTCTTCTGTTGTTTTTATTGTACTGCAAGCTGCCTCCTGGATACTTTGTTGTTGTGAGGGAGGTTAAAACATCTGTTAAAAAACAAATACCAGGTATTGCAGGGAGGGGGGAGAACTAACATACAGTTGGTGCACTTGGTGGGGTCCACATGTTCAATGTAACACAGAAATCTAGCCTGATTCTTCTTTACCCTGATATTGTATAATGGCAGTCACTTCATCCTAGGGTCGCCACCCCCTCCAGGTGGAACCTGAGGATCTCCCTCTACTACAATTGATCTCCAGCTGACAGAGCTCAGTTCCCCTGGAGAAAATGGCTGCCTTGAGGGATGGGTTCTATGGCATTATATCTGGAGGAGGAGGAGGAGGAGGAGGAGGAGGATTGGATTTATACCCCGCCCTTCACTCAGAGTCTCAGAGTGGCTTACAATCTCTTTCCTTTCCTCTCCCCACAACAGACACCCTGTGAGGCAGGTGGGGCTGAGAGAGATCTGAGAGAACTGCTGTTGCGAGAACAGCTCTGAGAGACCTGTGGCTTGCCCAAGGTCACCCAGCTGGCTGCATGTGGAGGAGTGGGGGAATTAAACCTGGTTCTCCAGATTAGAGTCCGCTGCTCTTAACCACTACATCAAACTGACTCCCCTCACCAGTCTTTACCCCCAAATCTCCAGGTATTTCCCAACCCAGAGCTGGCAACCCTGTGTCTGTTAAAGTAAACTCAATGCACTGTTCTACTAAATCCGAATTTAAGCAGTTACGCTTCCTTTGCTCTTATAAATAGAAAGTGTTAAAACTGTAGTGAAAAATTATATTTGTTACTCATAATCTTCCTTTAGGGCCAGAGAATGCATTACATGGAAGATACACACAATTGGATTTTTCCAACATTTTCTTTCAGATAGAAAACAGAACCCAAAGGGAAGGAGAAATAGATTAGAACTGCAACTCTGGGGGTCGGATGGGGAAGGTGAAGTATTTTTAAACCCATGCCATTTCCCTTGTTGAAATGGTTTCCCCTTTTCAAAGCTGCTATTAGCCACAAAAGAGAGA